CAGCCTGCCTGCACCCCTGGGAGCTCCTTGGTCCCTTACCTGGTTGCCGTTCTGGAGGAGGCTGTCTTTGCATCGGAGTTTCTTTTCCAAGTCCTGAATGAGGGCCTCCTTTGTTCCTCGAATTTCTTGGTCTGATGTCTTCTGCATAGAGTTGATGCTGGCTTGTTTGTTGTACATGGGCTGTGAGTAACTACTCATACAGGAAGAGAAAACAAAGTTATTCCTGCAGGCCTGCTGGATTATCTGCTACAGCTTCACAGAATGCACATGAAAATGTGAGCCTGCCTCCTAAGAACTGCGGATCAGATGAACCCACAAAGCATCTGGGAGGAGAACAGGCCAAGCTGCCCAACTGAGTACCAAAACCTTAAGGGAAAGAAGGATCATGGTGCAGCCAAATCACTGAGTGTCCTCCCACAGCACAGCATCCCTACATCCTGCAGTGGCCCCTGCCAGCCTGACCCCATCCGTAGCCACGGGATGCAGTCAGCTCCTGGAGCTTGGTACCACTTCTGATTCTGAAAGATGCCAGGAAAAGAGGAGCAGCCATCAGAATGGGTTGCAAAGGTCTGCTGGAGGTCACAGCACTCTGTGCTGACAGGCTCTGACCTGGTTTGTGACCTGCAGTGGGGTCTCCTGTGCTGCACCTGTGTTCAGAGATTATTTCTATTCCAAATCCTCTTCCTCCTGTGGCTTGGGAATTTGTTCTGCTGACTAGACTAGAGTAGAAGGGTTATAATTCCAGAATACTCCCAGCACTGCTTGGATTTAATAACTTAATGTGAGTTATAAAACTTGAGTGATTTGCCCCACAGGTGAGGACACCTCATGTCCCTGTTTGCCCATTACCAGCGGGACTGGGAAAACAATTCCTCAACTCAGCGTGTGCTGCATCTAAGAGCAGCTGATATGAAAAGCATAGTGAGGCACCCAAACCCTTTGCTATGGAAACAAACAACCCCACACTACAAACACAATCCCAGCAGTGTCCCAAGCCCCCCACACTCCTGCAGGACTTCAGGAAACACTCCCCAGTTAACCCACCCCATCTTACCTTTCCCCTTCCCTCAGTGTTGTGATTCAGAAAACAGACAGAAATATTCTGATTTCCTGAATGCAAACTGACACTTAAACCTGGATTTATATCCAAGTCAGCAGGACCCCCTGCCCCTATCAACTTTCCAATATCTCACTTTGTGCATATTCTACCCTGACTTTCCCCAGGACCTCCAGCTGATATTGGCAGGAATACAAGTTGGTGAGAAGGCAAGGCCCAGCTCCCTTTGAGATCTCACTGACCTTGGAAAATATTTGGATTGCAGCCCAAAGGCAAAATGATATAATACATATTTAGGAAAGAATTTATTCTTTGGTCTAAAGGAGTGAAATTTTCAAGGGCCTGCCTTTCTTTTGCATGTAAGATTAATAAAAGGGGTATTGTAGGTGAGTTTAACTTCACATTATGTTGTGAAAATATTGCTGAGACTTACTAGGATTCTAAGTTGTGTTGGGAATACTACTGCCTCCTCCCTGTCTCCCTGTTCATAAAACATGTCTTGGAAAGAAATGAATTTGATACAGGTGCCTGTCTTCTGTTCTAAATAGCCTTAAGAAATGTCTGTCAAATGAACCTAAACAATTCAAACCAGCTCCAGAACACTCACCCATTAGCCTGTGGCATGCCCACAGTGCAAGGGCAAGCACTCAGCCTCCTCACCCGACCCCTGCAGGGCTCTGCTTGCACAGCAGCAGCCAGGTGTGCACGGGCACAGCTGTACCAGGGCCTTGCTTTGGGGCGGTCAGTGCTGGGACAGGCCAGGGGAAGCAGGGCAGGTTAGAAGGCTGTGTGTACTTACTGAGGTCCCACGGGAGAAGGAGCTGGGCTGTTATAGTCGGGCTGCGAGGGGAGCACGGAGCACAGGAAGGCTGCGGGGGATTGGTTAGGCATGGGTAGAAGCCTCTGCCCAGATGATGAGCTAGCAGGAGACTGTGCAGATGCAGGTGTGATGGGATAGGTGGATTCCTTAGGGGCACTACAGGAAGGCGAGGAGAGCGTGATTGAAGAGCTCAGCGATGACGAGGAGGAGAATTTCTGCCCGCTGGGGTTACGAGGCTGGATGAGGATGGAGGACTGTTTGATTTCTCTGCTTGACTCTGTAGAGGCTGCAGGTCCTGGAGGCTGCTGTTGCCCTTGACACACGTTCTTAGACTGGATAAAGTGTTTTGGGCGTTCGTAGTTAAACATGGTTGGTTGGCACATAGAGGAAACGGATGGGAGATTAGGGACACTCATAGGAGAGGTTTCACGGCTGTCCTGGGTTTTTGTTGGTGATAACTGGCTTTGGATAGGTGGCTGGTAAAAACTAGGTGACAGGCCACAAAAGGTTTCCTGGCTGGGCTCCTGGATAGAATGGAACCCTTGCCTTGCAGAATAGAGGCTTTCTTGGAGTGGATTTTCCCTTAAGGAAGACAATACAGATAAAATAAATTGTACATCACAAGCTGAATCACCAAAATACTGTGTTCTGAGCAGTCATTAGCAATTCAAACACTATGAAGTTAAAGTTCAACTAAATTAGAGCTTGAACTTAAAATTATTTAGGATTTGTTAGAACTGCCCCACAACTGTATGAGCATTTTGGGTCACAGTAACAAGCCACACAGTCTGTCTGGCTCAGGTGCAATGATCACCGGGCTTGTTTTATATGCCAGAGCCCAGTAAATTCTAAAGGAAATAGCAATTGGTTAACCACCTGCCTAAATGTACAGATAAACACAGATGCTACTGCTAAGCCAGGTAATTTCCCATGTATCATCTTAACTAAAGATCCCTGGATCCTGCTGTTTTGTGGCCTGTCAAAATGCTAAATGTACTATTCCCCAGAACCAGCTACCTGTGCCAAGAAATTCCTTGTACCATAGGGAAGCACAAAAGTTTCACTTTCAAGTCTAAAATGAACTTTTGAAACCAAATCTCCTGATTTCTTCTCTAATGGGTTTTGAATTCATAGCTTGTAATATCCAACCGAGATTTGGGATCAGAATGCCAAGGACTGTGTGTCTCTGTTTGAGGTGATTTCCCGAGATTTGCTGTTAAGGCTGCTAATTGCCAGAATGACATGAGCTGCAAGATAAGGTAGGGCAAGCTGAGCTGCTCAGAGTCCTGATTTTTTTTTTTTTTTTTTTTTGTAGGTGTTTAATATCTAAAAACCTCAGCTTTCCATCAGCTCAAAACCTGGGAGAATTTCATTTAGCAGGCTTTTTAAAATGGACAAATTACTTCCATAATTTGTTAAAAAAGTAGTCTCCCAAAATAAAGCCACTAATAAAAAGAAGAAGAAGAAGAAGAAGAAGAAGAAGAATATAGATCCCTACAGTTACATGTGCTGGAAAAAATTGTAATCTTGCCCCACTGAGATCAGCTGTTTGACTGCTATATATACCCAGTATATTGTATTCCTCTCGCTTTTAAAATGGACAAATTATTTCCGTAATTTGTTAAAAAAGTAGTCTCCCAAAATAAACATAAAGCCACTAATAAAAAGAAGAAGAAGAAGAAGAAGAAGAAGAAGAATATAGATCCCTACAGTTACATGTGCTGGAAAAAATTGTAATCTTGCCCCACTGAGATCAGCTGTTTGACTGCTATATATACCCAGTATATTGTATTCCTCTCGCTGGAGAGCCCAGAGAAGGGCTCCACGAGGTCATAAATTCCCATGGGGGGAGAGAAGTGGAGACGTTGCTCTGATATTAAGGACTCAAGGCTTCCATTTCCTAAAGATAATCGTCAATATTAGTTGTGAATTAGCTGTAAGTAAACAGAGGCCTTATAGTAAAAATTCCCTAACTTTTCCCTTGTCATACTCTTGGAATTTGAAGCTGGCTCAAACTTTTGGAACATGTCCACACTACGTCCTCATTCACCAGTGCAGAAAACTCCCTCAGTCTTGTCTTTATCCCGTTTTTATATCACTACCTGTGCACGGATTTGTACATTCACTGTACCACAGGCTGTGGACAGCAACCAGCGTTTTCTCTGCTTTCTAGAACACTGCACTTAGCCAAGCTCTGGATCACAGCGTCACTTCTCACAGCAAGGGATAAGCCATGTTTTCCTCAAATCATTCCGCCTTGATTTGGGAGGGAAAAAATAAATCCGAAGAGACATTTGACCTTGCAAGATGAAAACAGTACGTAATAACAGGGACAGCTTGCCTGTTGAAGAACAAACCCGTGATTTTGGCTCTGTTGCTGCCCACGTTCCCTTTGACGCTCCCGCACCCTCCAGGTACGGCTCCACCTCAGCATTCCCAGCAGTCCCTCACGCCACCTCCCTAACCAGCCTCCGAGTGAAAAGTGACGTGCAAAAACCCCAGCAGGCGCCTTACCTACAGCCTAGGAGCTGTCACCTGGGCCGCGGCCGGTGTTTTGGGAAGGACGGTCATTCACTGTCATAGCCGCCCTCTGCGCGGCGGTACGAGCCCGGGGCTTTAATGTGCTGCCAGCGGTGACACGGCGGGACCGGCCTGTCCCCGGCTGTCACAATAAGAGTCTCTCTACACAGCCGGACGCTGTGCAAGGGCCGGGGCCGGGACTTGGGCAGGTGCCCGCGGGCAGCGCATCCCGGCGGGCAGCGCATCCCGGCGGGCAGCGCATCCCGGCGGGCAGCGCTGGCACCGCCCGAAGCCCCGAGGCACCGCTGCTGCTGTGGCTGCTGATTCGGACCGGCTCTCTCCCGGCTCGGTCCGGCTCTGTCCCGGCTCTATCTGGCTCTGTCCATTCTCTGTCCCGGCTCTATCCGGCTCTGCCCCTGCTCTATCCCGGCTCTGTCTGGCTCTGTCCCGGCTCTATCCCGGCTCTGTCCATGCTCTGTCCCGGCTCTGTCTGGCTCTATCCGGCTCTGCCCCTGCTCTATCCCGGCTCTGTCTGGCTCTATCCCGGCTCTGTCCCTGCCCTGTCCGGCTCTCTCCCGGCTCTATCCCGGCTCTGTCCCTGCTCTATCCCGGCTCTATCCGGCTCTGTCCCGGCTCTATCCCGCTCTGTCCTGGCCCCAGGGGGCAGCGGCCGCGGCTCAGCGCTGCCGGGAGCGTCCCTGGCTCAGCAGAAGGGGCAGACCCGCAGAAGTCGCCAGCTTTTCAAGAGAAAAGCAGGTGTTCTGCCCGTCAGGGAGCAGCAGCAAGGACCGCTGCAATATGCTTGAACGTCCCGAAATCCCACTTTATTATCCCAAGGAAATTCTTGCCCAGAGGAGCTGTGACTGACCCATCCCTGGTGTTCAAGGCCAGGTTGGATGGGGCCCTGAACAGCCTGGTCTAGTGAAAGGTGCTCCTGCCTATGGCAGAAAAAATGCCATCTGTATGGTCCTTTCCAGCCCAAACCATTCTGCGGAATGTGGGTCTAAACTCCTTGTTTAACTCATTTCCTAATTGTTTGTAGCTAATTGCCTCTGTAGCGATAAAGCTCTGCTACCGATTTTAAGGCTGTGCACTCAACACACACTCGAGAGCCCGGTTTAAAGGTGGATTAAACCCCCCAGCCGCAGCCCCGAGCGAGCCCTCCCTCCGTGCCCAGGGTCACCTCCCCAGCCCCGCTGCGGCAGGGAGCTCGGTCAGGAGCAGGGGCATTGCTCATGGATGTGTCTGAGCAGTCATAAACTGAGTAACGAAACTAGCCTTGTGGAAAGGATATGATGAAAATGCGGGAAATGTTAATATTTTGCTGCTCGTGTTTGTTATTACAGCTTTTTACACGGATGAAAAAATGCAGCTGTGGTGTTCTCACCAGAACAGCAGCAGATCCTGCTGGCAGGTTAGGCTGGCTTCAATGCCTAATTACACCTTAAATTAACATTATAGTGTTTTAAATATCTTAATTATACTTCGGCAACCATCGCCTGTTGTTTAAAAACACCCCAAGCCCCAAAGTCCCGCAGCTGGGCTGCGTGTGCGCTCTCAGCTGCTCCCATCTCCTCCCCTGTGCCCGGGAGTCTGTCGGCACTGAGATCTTCACGAGGTTAATCCACCTCCAGAGCTTGTGTTTAAACATCGTTTGCGAGCTAAAACTACAGAGCAGGTGTTAATTGAGTGCTAATTTATATAAATTCCTCGCGTGAAAGTGATTAAGGGAGGGAATTCGTCCCTACTTGTCTTTGCTTTTTACGTCAAAAAAACAAAACAAAACAAAACAAAACAAAACAAAAAAAAAAAAAAAAAGAAAAAAAGAAAAATAATTAAAAATAGGTGGTTTGCATAGAGAGAGGCGAGTGCTTGTAAGAAGGTACGTGGGTCATGATCACTGCCCTGCAGGACGCTGTGAGCACAGTACAGGGCAGGCTCCGTGCTCAGACAGGCTCCCTGGCTTCCCACCAACCTCAACTTGGCACTAAAGCTGGCTGCGAGGCATCAATTTAAGGACAGTTTTACACACTTAAAAGAGTGGACACAACCGGGACAGCTTGTGTGAAAGAGAAGGAACAGGAAAACGTGACATCCAGAAGGTAGGAAAAAAGGTGAGAGAACTGGAAGCTGAACTGATGAAGGCAGAGGGATAAATCTCATCTCCTGTGCCAAGTAACTTAATAGCACTGTGACCAGCACTGCGAGGTGTCAGAAATCAGCTTTTCTGTCCTGCTTCAGTTTACTCTCTAAGAATGGTGCCCTGCTGCTTCTGATTGGGTTCTTTCTCCTCACTGCTTGAGTCATATAGCAAAAAATGTCTAGAAAAAGAGTTAAGGATCTGTTGCTTATTAATTAAGATACTTAAAAGCTGAATACTAAAATACCTGGCAGTATATTAGTGCCTGAAGCCTCTTCTTTTGCTTGGATTGAGTTTCTTTAATGAAGTTTGAATGGTTTATTCTGCTTCAGTGTTGTTGAGGACACTGCAAGCTGCAGGTGTAAAGGGCTCAGAAAGGAGTAGCTGGTAGTGACAGTCTTGAATTGCATTTTCTGGCTTTTGTGGAGTGCCTGTTGCTAGGCAATAATTGGGAGAATATGGGCACAAGGATTTCATTCATTTTATAGCTATTCCCAATAATAGCTTTGTTCTGTCATCACTGCCTTTGTTGGTATTTGCCTTTGGTAATACAGTTGAACCACATGAGGGAATTATATGCTAAATCTGAGTAACAAGACAGTTATTTTGCAACAAGCCATTAGCCCTGATTGCTGAGTTTGAGGTAACAGCAACATTTACAATGCTGAGTCACATTCATAATGATGTTTCAAAGCACCTGGCAGTATGTCTGTGAGATTTGAAGGTATTTAAATTCTCATAGATACATATATCTAGAAATTTTAATAGTTTCTCTCTGTATTTTGAGATGTGTCTGAAGTCTGGACTAGTTAATGTTTTTTGTTTACATTTATATAGGTATACACACACACATAGCCTACATTTTAAAAAGCTATTACATAGCTGATTTTGGTGGCAAGGTAAATCCCTTTATGCATTAGGGTCTGCTTAGGGTCCCAACTGATTTCCCTGGAGCAAGCCTGGATTTCAAAGAAGGGCTTGAAGCCAAACTGAGAGCTTCCTCTTAATGATCTGCATGCTGGTTATTGGAACAAAACCATTTTTACCCAGTGATTTAGCAAAAAAGTAACTCTCCTGCATGGAGACATCTATACTGAAATATGATCTCTCCTGTGGTAAAATTTGAAGGAGGCTGTTCAGAATTGTTAAAATAACTGGTTTAGTTAAAATGGCTGAGTACATCCAAAAATAATCTGTAAGCCAGGGAATGGTCTCTGTCAGGGACAGCCGTTTCCACAGTCTGTAACAGGATCCCTGCAGCTGCAGGCTGGCACTCAGCTGGGAGAGCAGGCACACGTAGCTCTCCCTGTCCCTAACAGCACAGGGGGAATCCTCTGCTGGGCTTGGATGGCTGAACTGTCACCATTCGAGGTCATCCTTGTGTCTGCAAACCCCTGAGAAGCCCTCCAGAGATGGGGGTGATGTCACCAATCTATGCATTCTAACCTGATTTGTTTCTCTGGAGCAATCAAAGAGAACTGATAATGCAATAAGTGTGCAGTGACTTGAGAGATGCATTTGGGATGGAAATTGGATCAAGTCTTGTCATAAAATTGAGTGCTTTACTACTGGGGCAGGATCTCCATCTCCTGAGGGGGGAGCGTCCCTGCCATGCCATGGGACAGTTTTCCTTCTATGCAGTGGGTCACTGGGTCAGTGCTTTTCCTCCACAGAGTGGTTTGCAGGTCCTGTCTGCACCACACTTACAGGATCTCAAGTTTTATTGCTGTCTTTAAGAATAGGAAACAGAAACATGAGGTGATGCCGCTCGGCCAAAGCCACCAAGGAAGGTGGTGGCAACAGAATTGTACCTTGAGCTTTCCCAGGTACTGTGATCTTTGCCTCATGCTCTGCTGTGGAGCCAAAGGTCTCCTGGAAGACAATTTTTTGGAGTGATGCTTTTAGGTTAGACACAGACAGACTCCTGCAAACGACTTCAGGCCCTTCCCTGGTGCTTTGGGTGGGACCTGCCAAGCTGGTGCTGCACATTGTCATTGTCACCCAGGCAAACAGCTCAGGCTGCTGCCTGTGCCTGATCCCTGTCAGGCTGAGGGGCACTGGAGTGTGCAGCTGGCATCCCTGGGCAGTTCATGCCCTAAGTGTTGTAAAGAGCTACCCCAGGGGTGTGATTTTCTCTGGGGTGTGATTTTCTCTCTGTCTTACCGCAGAGGTGAAACCCCAGGCGAGTTCTCGTAAGCTCCATGGAAATCTTCAGCTTGGCTCTTGGAGCTCTTCTGGCCAAAGCTGGAGGCTGCAGCTCGAGTGCCCAGCCCGGGGCTCTCTGGGCTGTAGGATGGCAGAGCAGCTGCCCCACGCTCCTTGGCTCCTGCTTGGCTGCTCCTGGGGAGGGTGGCTTTCTTCATGGTGACCTGCACAGCTGGCCTGGGGACAGCACCTCCAAAGCTCTCCAGCTCTTTAGCTCCTGGAAGTAGAATTGTCCCCATGTCAGGCTGGGAGCAGTGGAGGCTCACCAGTGCAGCACTGCAGTAACAGGGCATGGGAAACTGCAATGTCTGAGCAGGAGGATGAGGCTCATTCTGCTCTGCACAGACTGAAACCTGCACAGCAGCACGAGCCAAACCTGGCTTCTGGCAGGGCTGCTGAGCTCTGGGTACCTGCCAGGTGCTGCTATGGTGGCATATGGCTTCCAGCACGAGCCAAACAGGTCAGGTGGAACCATAAACAAGGTATAGACATGGCCAATGTTGGGCCAAGCTGGAATCCCTGGAGGGATGAAGCTCAGGGATGAGACTCCTCTGAGAGAGGGAACAGCATCTCCACCTTGTCATCCTTGACTCAGGAAGAAGAGGGACCAAAAGCACAAACACAGAACATCTTGCATCCAGCTTTGAGAGGTACCCAAGCAGACTTCATTTTTTGGGCATTTCTCTCCTCTTGAGCCTACAAAATAGTTTGGGTCTGGCTTCTGCTTGGGAAATATCTGTGATTCTGCCTGATGTTGAGCACAGCAAATTCTTTTGTGTTTATTTGATCAACACAGAAACCCATGTGCTTACCTGGGGAAACAGAGAGATGTGCACTGGATGCTGCAGACCCAAATTCATTTTCAGCAACACATTTAAATATTCCAGAGTCTTCTGGGAAAGCTTCTGTAATAACCAGGGTGCAGACTTCCTCTGAAATAAGAGATTCAGGCATGATGTACCACAAGAGGCAAAGGTTAACTTGTAGGAACTGCTCTTTACAGGACTCTTTACATAGTGGTGGGGATTGGCACTAATAGAGTGAAAAAAAAGTGATGTAGAGGGCATGGGAAGTGAAGGGGTTTAGAAGGAGCAAGATTAAAGGAGACTCTTCCTTTGACATTAATGAAACAAAACACATTTTTGTGGTGGATGTTTTGTTTGTTTAGTTGTTTTTGTTTGTTGTGGCTTTGTTGTTTTTTTTTTTCCTAAATTCTGTCATTTCTTGTGCAAGTTTAAAAGGTTATAGGTCAGAATGGTAGATATGCTTTCTCTTAGCACAGGGTACTCTTCATTGGCTGAATGTAAAAGGATTGATATTTTTTCCAAGTGTTGTGGAAAAAATCAGGTCCTTTTGGGTGCTTGCAGCAAAATTAAGAACTTGAAAGCTCTTGGCTCGACTGACTATTGTCTTCTGGCTACCTTTGGACATTGTTCTTTTATTTTGGATGAGGTGGGAAATACTGAGTGTGGTGAGGAGTCTACCAAAAAATGCACAGCATACTTACCAGGAACTGCTGATGAACAAGCCTCTGCTCAAGAAAAGAGAGAGAGAATTTAAATTATTATAATGTCAGAATGGAAAAAACCCCAAACCCTTCATCCCTCACTCCCTTCCCCACCTCAGCTGTCACCCTGGCTACAAGGGAACCATCTCCTTTCTGTCCATCACAAGGAATAGCACGTGGCTAGGGAAAGCTCAGGTGTGGCTGGGGGACCTGGTGGTACAAACACCTCTCCACTAAGGTGATGCACAAAGAGCTCCACTGAATTTGGAGTTGGTTGCCGTGGGTTTGGCCCTCTGGAGCTCTGACCTCATGCCTGAGAGTATAAGAAATGGTTTGAAATGAAGTTATGCTTTTTTCCCCCTGAGTTCATCAGCAGTTCTAGCACATGGTAGCAATGCCCCCATGGCTCAGCAGGGCTGTCATTAATAACAAACAGCCTGGAATCTGCCCTGTTGTGCCTGTCCCACTCGTGCAGTGCCAGAGGAAGTGCAGGCTGTGCAGCAGCCTGTGACTTGGGGTCATCTGATACTGTAAACTCAGCTCTGCGCCTATGAACCATCTCCTGAGGTTTTATAGCAGTTCTCCTTCCTGCCCTGTCCCTGTCCCAGGAGAATATCTGTGCACTCATCTGATACTGTAAACTCAGCTCTGCGCCTATGAACCATCTCCTGGGTTTTATAGCAGTTCTCCTTTCTGCCCTGTCTCTGTCCCAGGAGAATATCTGTGCATCAAGCAGCTGCAGCAGCACCTACTTTTCCTCAGGATCCGGAAATCGGCAGAATCCAGGATCCGATCGTATTCCCTGTACCAGTGAACCTGCAGGGTGGGTGTGGAGTGAACGCGGCACTCAAACACCACCAGCTGGCCCTTGGTGGCTCTTATGTTTTGTAGACCCTGGAGGAGAAAATATTTGTGTTAAGTGCCCGATCTAAGTATTTCCCCATTGAGGCATTTATCAGGAAAGGACACACCCTTCAGGGAGGAGGATGGTCTCGCCTGTATTTTCATTTTGCTTACAATAGTTGTTTGAATTCTAAATGCAGTGGGTTGTGAGTGGAAATTTTTTCACCAGAAGACCAGCACTCATTAAAGCCTTGCTTGTGCATTTAAATTAAGATACAAATGCAGGAAAAACTTCCATTCCACTGGATGCAACATAATAAGGGTGGTTACAATGTGAGGTTTCCACTTCAGCCTCCTTTGCAGGAAGTAAATGAGATTAATTCCTGTAAGTGGTTCTGTCTGGATCGTTTACCAATTAAGATGTTAGTTTGATAGCATCACTAACAAAGTATGCTAGCTTTTTTGAATTGTAAATGAACCAATATTCCAGCCTAGAAACACCTTCTGATGGAACAAAAAAATGCAAAATCTAATACTGGTAGTTACAGGATGGGCTGTGTTGTTCTTGTGCTTTTTACCTTTGTAAACACAGGTGTGGTTCCATAGGCAGACCCAGACAGGCTCAGTGAGGGACTCTGCATCTAGATGGCAAAGAAAAGAGATTTTTACAGATTGAATTTTTCACATGCAGAAACCTGGCTGTGTTGCTGGCACTTTCCTTTGAAGGAGAAGAAGATTCAGAGTGTTTTATCTGTTGTTCATGTTCTGGGCTAGGAAATACCCCATGGAGAGTCTCCTCCACTCAGGTGCTTCTAGAGGAAACAATTCCCTGGCCTGCAGACACCAAGTGAGTGGGAAGAGGAGCTGATAAACAGTAAATGTTGCTCAGAGCTTTAAGCCAATTAATTGCCCACATCTTGCAGCCTCTGTGTAAAGATCAGTGCTGCTGCCAGCAGCTGCCCCCTTCTAGAGAGATCCTGACCTGGTTTAGCAGGTCTGGCACTCCCTGGCTAGTGTCGTGTGTGTGGTTGCTACAGTGAGGCTGAGCACAGAGAAATGAGCAGGATTTTTCTACTGTCCTTACATCCTCTGTTAAAACTCAGCTGTCACAGAAGTTCCAGTAAGGCCTCTGATTGATCAAGAAAGGCAGTTTTGAGATCATGAAATATTTGCAGTGCCAGATATGTCCTTGTTCCATGGTGGAGTGTTGATGTGCACTCATCTCTGTCTCATTTAGCTTTGGAACCATGTGTCTTGCATATAAATGTGCAACTGAAGTGCTTGGGTTTGTTTTGCTGTCACACTGGCCTTTTTTTTTATAGCCTTATCTTTGAAATAACCCATGTTTTCATCTCTTTCCCTCCCAGCCTGGGTTAAGGTGTGAATCTGTCTCTAGGTGTTCTGACTTTTTTCCCAGCTCTTGGCCACATAAGTGCTCTAAGCCAGCTCTCTGTTCTGAAGTGACTCTTTGAAGTGTAACTGTGGCAGCCCCTTGGGCATTCCCAGCCCTGTCACCTGCTCCATCAGTTCCTGGCAATTCTGACTAGGAAATGTTCCAAGCCACAAAGCCCTTTTCCAGAGCTTAGGGTCCAGACCTTGATATCCATGCTGACCCTTCCCTCTTAGACTCTTGCTGAAGATGAGCCTGAACTGATCCTTGCAAAATATTTTAGAATGATGTAAATAATAATTTAAAACATGTGTAAGCTGCTCTCTGAGTGTCAGTAGATTAGGCTGAGTTAAAGTGGTGTAACTGTGGTGAACTGAATGGTTGTGAGAGACTGCACTGGCTGAGGAAGCAATGGACAGAAAAACACTGGTGGCTCTCTGCTTTTACCCAGCGTGTGGGGAAAAAAACAGGGCAGGACAGAGACAGAGGCTTTAGGAGGCTGAGTATCCTTGATCCAATAATATCTGGACCACTTACTGTGACATTCCTCTGGCCCCGACAGGATTCTGAGACTTGCAAGGAGGCTTAGCCTTCGGATTTACCCTGAGAACCTGCAGAGACAAACATAAAGTAGTGTGTGTTTAGAACTATCTCCTTTTCCTTACAACACAGCAATGACTGTTTTGTGAACTGAACACAGGCTAGGTGGGGTCACACAGAAGTGCCAGAGGAAATAGAAGCATCCTGAGTATTTGAGAGTAGGCTCAGGTCACCTCCAGAACATGCAGACGCTTTAACAAGATTATTGATACAGACCTTTATGAAAGACCCAAGTTACATGTGAAACCTGGCTTCATGCTGGAACCAGGGTTTTCCTGTATTTGGATGGGAAAGTCTAAAAAAACACGTTACTTTAGGGAGAGTGAAAATGGAACCTCATAAACCAGCTGCTACGTTCCTCTGCATGAAGACTGTAGCATACTGGGTTGACACAGAAAAAGTAGTTATTGAGATTTTAATAGCTTACCATGGTAATTAAAGGCTTACAGGTTTCATCTTTGCTTCCCTTTTGCTATAGCAAGAAGGATTGTTCTTGCTGGTATGCCACAGATGCCAATCCTCCTTCCCCTGGGGCCACCTGCACCAGGACCAAGGCCAGCCTCGACAAACGCCCTGCAGGAGCAGCAGCAGTGCTGTTGTCACTCTGCTTCTGCAGTGAGCCTTAGGGCTGTGCCTGGTGACACACGGTGACAGTGCTCCTGTGCCTGTGTGCCTGCAGCTGGGGGAAGGAATGGAGCCTGCTTTGCCAGCCGGGAGAAGACATGGACATGCTGAACTGACCTTCTGCTGGCTGCAGGAGCCATGGAGGTCCCCTGCTGCTCTCTGCTGTGATGCAATCTCGTGAGCAGAAGCAGGCCCTGGCATTTGCATTCCCCATCCATTAGGGCAGCTTCCACCCTCTCTGGGTGCCTGTGGCATCAGATTTGCTGTTGTCTGGAAGCTGCTGTCACCTGTCTGTGCCTGTGGCTGTGCAGGCAGCACCTGAAGGTGTTGGCAGATGTCTGCAGAGCTGTTGTTTGCTGTTGAGTGCTCAGCTGCTAAAGCCACTGTAGTGTTCCCCTGTGAGCTCCCTGCCTGTGTGGCAGTTTTGCTTTGTGCTTGCCTCTGTGAGGAGCCAGATGTGAGAGGTCATGGTTTGGCACCGAACTCTCTTGGAGGTGGCAGCTGTTTTCTGGCACGCTGACAGTGCTCTAAGTCAGAAGAGCATGGGTGTTTCTTCAGGGTTTGGATGTTACCCTTGTCGATCTCACATGGTAGAGTTTGGCACTTACAGTGTTTGTTAGACATTATGTAAAGTAATGCAAATTTGAGATCTTTTAGCTGTCTGGAGCCATATTGGTGTATTGGTGGATTTACAGGTGGGTACCTGGTGTAGAGAGACAGAGATACTTCAGCAGAGTGGGATTTAGTTACCTTGAAGAGGTCAGTAGGCTAGAAATAACCCATCTTATCAAATAAAATCAAGGTACATATCTGAATTCCTCAGAGGCTTTGCATAGCTCTTTGGTGCAAATAATTTACTTGAGACCTGTTCTCTGTCTCTTCTGCTTTCCAGCACTCTCCATAACAGTGACACCCAATTACCATCGTGGAGATTTTGCAGCCTAGCTGGATTTGCCTGGTTAAAATGAGAACATATCCCTGTGTGCCTCATTCACACCTGCAGAGTGTCACTGAGCCCTGAGGGCCCAGGCACAGTTACCCATGGACTTGGACCACCCATGGCTTTCATATTTCTGGCCGTTGCTCTTGATTTATAAGTGTCTCTCAAGCAGTTCAAGGATGGCTCCTGTCCAAGGTTATAGCATGAGGATATCAACAGGGCTGTGCTGTGATGCAAGGGCTGCTGGATAATCCCAAACCCTTGGATGTGGGAGCAGGGCCTGGGAATGTTTTTGGGTTGCCCTAGGTTCCCACTGCAAACCAATCCTGGCTGGACTCCACCACAGATTTCCCTGGTGCTGCCTTCCAGTCTATCAGGTAACAGTTGGTACAGTCAGTTTTCAGGACCTGGAATATTGGATGATTTGGGTTTTTTTTTTTCTATTTTGCCTCCAGAGAAAAAGGGTGATGAAAAATCACACATGTTCAGATTGTGAAAGGAGTTCCTGGGCTGATACGTCTGCTTTAGAGAGTGCCCCATGCACCTGAGACACGATTAACAAAACTGCATTGGAGGATCATTGCCCCTTCTTTTTTCTGCACAACAAAAGACTTCATTATCCTCAGAACTGCCATCAGTCTTCATGTTCCACTCTGTTTCCAAGTCCATGATCAGTCTGGTCTCACACAAGCACAGAAACAGAGGGCACAGAGGTTCTCCTGCCAGAGGGGACAGTGGACAGCGGCATCTGTGGTGTAGGACCACAGCACAGTGAGGTGCTGCAGGAGGCACTGCCCTCACTGTATCTGGAGTGAGGAGCAAGGTCTTGGAGACAGGCTGCTCTACTGAACTGAATAAGAGCAGCTCCTGACAAGTTTCCAGTATGATGAAAGAGGCACTGAACTTTAGCACTAAGCAGGAATAGCAGCATCTTATGAATTTGTGCTCAAGACAGTTACTCACTTGCATGGCATTAGTTCCTCGATGCGATGACTGCTGCTAAGACCTCCTGACGTGGCAGAGACCATGGCCAAGGGATGGTGGCTGTCAGGGCTGCAAGTGTGCCTGGCCTGGTGCCCTGTGACACACCAGGCAGTCAGTGCTCCCACAGTAAATACAGGCAGCTCTGCGTGGGCTGCTGCAGCTGCCAGTGCTTGAGAAAGGCTGGGTTAACCTCTCATCAGAGCACATCTTGTCAGTTCAGCTGAGTGAAGACCCCATCACTGGGAATTCTGCTTGTTCTTGGCTGCTGTAAGTGTGTGCTAAGAAGCAGAAGCCATCCTTGAAGTTCACATTGCTGGCAGCACCTCTGTTTGTAGACAAACTCATCCTTCACACACATGGCTCACGTTAGGTGCTCTGTTCTCACCTCCTCTTGTGTGGTCCCTCTGTTTCACACTTTGCTTCTCATGAGTGTGTTGGATGCTCTCACTGTTAATATTGGATTTAGGTAAAGGAGAGTTCATGGGAACAGATAAAAGCTTATGAGCTTCAGTGCTGGGACAGTCACTGCTTTAGTCTGAATTCCCTGGTTTGATTGAGACCTAATGACCTTAGGGCTGAGGATATTTGGTAAACCAGGGGACTTTCAAGCCTGCTGAACATGGTGGCTGGTGCTGCTTTAAAGGGCAGAGTGTATTTGGGAGAGTAAATGTCCTGAGAGCATTTGGGCACTGGCTGCAATGCTGACAAGCTCTGCCACTACTAATTGGTTTCACGTGGTTGAAATAGTGGCTTCTGTAGGAGGCCAAACCTGTCCTGTGTGTGTGGCTCTCCAACTCAGCAGTAAAAATGAGAGGAGGTCATTCAGCTTCCAAGAAAACACTGGAAGGTCACTCTGAGGTATCTGTTTTCTCTCTGGCACATCTCCTTTTCCTTATGAGTGATGCTCCAGCCTTCTGTAACTATCAGTTCTCAGACTTCTGAGACCCTGATCCCACATCCTGAGGAGCTCTGTGCGTGACCTGCCCCTCTGCCTGTGTTTACCTTGCTAAGTAGAGAGGTTTTCTACAGCAGGTTAGCAGACCTTGTTCCCTGTGAGGGTGCTGAGGCCCTGGCACAGGCTCCCCAGAGAAGCTGTGGCTCCTCCATCCCTGGAAGTGTCCAAGGCCAGGCTGGATGAGGCTTGGGGCAACCTGGGATAGCGGAAGGTGTCCCTGCCCATGGCAAGGGAGTTGGAGATGGTCTTTAAAACCCTTTCCAACCCAAACCATTCTGTGATGTTACGAGTCTGTGAAAAGTCATCACCCTACAATTTACGGCCTTGAAAGAATATCTAGCCAAGGTTTTACCTTGGTGAGTCATCCTAGCAGTCCTGGTGTCTCATGTAAATGTCAACCTTTACTTAGTGTAACTCTAGATCTTTGTGAAGTGGACAGAATTAGACTCAGCCAAATGAAGAGTCCAAGGACCTTTGCAACCCAACACCAGGATGATTACAAGGTACATCCAGATCATGCTGTTGACACAAACTGTAATGACGACATTCTGACATTACCTGAATAGCTGACATGGCTGCAGAATTATGCTATAGGCAACACTAGGACAAATTTAACACGGGGCTAGGAAAGTATTAAATCTGCACAGAGCCCTTTTGCCAGGTGTTTAGATCATGGAAAACACATTAAATCTGTTTTAGGAACAAGAAGAGCATCTGCTGGATCTGAAATACACTGCATTGCAAAGAGTGTGTGCAGAGGGGAGGAGTACCTTTAAAATTGACACTTAGGAGTGAGGCAGAGCTAGACTGCAACATCACACTGATGTACCAGCTTGTCTTTTATTCAAAAAGCAGCCTTGAATAGATACACAGGATAACAACTTCCAATCACTTTGGAAATGTTGCATTTGCAAACCATCTGCATGTACCTGATGGTGCTACTCATTTTTACAGAGGTGTTCAGGCTTTGGGAATGTGTGCCAGGCACTTGGGTATCTCGTGGCACTAATCTGTGGGGCTTAACAGAGATATGAATAGGTCTGCAAAGAACAAGGCTCTCCCAGTGGCAGTGGGCTGCAGAAAGCTCTGTCTGGAGCTGTATTTCTTCTGTGCCATATGGCTAAACAGGGAAATTGTCACCACTTTGGTAGTGAGCTCTCTAGTTGTGAGTTCCTTAGTGGTGTGAATGTGTTATTATAAAGTGGCTTCTCTGTTGCTCCTGGGGTGTGAATAATGAGAATTCCGTAGGAAGTGAGAAAAGAGTGATTTTATTTGCTTCTCTTTCTACACTCCAAGAATCCTGAGAAGATCAGTTGGACTGCAGAGACTGTTGTGATTTGTGGAATAATCCCTTAAAATCACTGCTCTTCAGGTGGAGAGTGGGGCAGGTTTGTGTCAGCTGGGATATTCTGAAAATAATCAAATAGCTGAAAGAGCTTATTGTAGCCATTGATAAGGTATTCACAGAAACTGAAGAATCCTGGTTGGATGTGAAGCTTGCTGAGAGT